TTAGCAATGCCTAATTAACCAATCAAGCAGGCAGTGGAGCGTTGCAGGCGTTGAGGGCGCCATTAGAGGGAGATTATGAATTGTCTAATTAATGGACACTCTCTAAACGCTCCGACTGACTGCCGAGCACCGAACTGGACTAAGAGGAATGAGACTGACACCGACGCAGTCAGAGAAGCACAGTCAACGACAGTGCACCTTGCAAATGCAAATGAGTACCGATGATTGTCAGGCACAGGCCGAAGTAGTAGTAACAGTGAGTGGTAGTGAAAGAGTTTCCGAGTCTGCCCGGAGGTGGGCTCACTCTCTGGCGCGGTGTGTTGGCCCGTTGCCGCAACTAAAGTACTGTCGCCGTTCGTCGCTGATGCACGGGCTTAGCCAGCCTGTCTGTGTCGGCTGCCGACAACAGCAACGGCAGCAGCAGCAGTTTGAAGCAGAAGCATTAGAAAAGTGACTGCCTTTACAACTTCGTCATGACCGTGTTTGGCTGCCGCCGTCGCCTTCGCCGCTGCTGCTCTCCGACAGACGCCAAAGTACACTTTGCCAGTGTTTTGCTCCAGCTAACAGTGACAGTGTCAATTGATCACCACCACCACCAGCACCACCAGCTTTCTACTGAATAATCGACGCCAGGCGATCAGTTGATTCGGTCGAACTTGTGCGTGTGTGATGTGTGTATTTACTACCGTGTAATGATGACAGTGAAACGACAGCTCTCGTTCACGCGCTGAACACTTGCATGCACGCCTCTACGCATCGACTGACTGACCAAAAAGAAGAAGATCTGCCTCTAATCTAATCAACGTTAGCCCGGCCGATGCATCACTATTGATTTGGTGTGTTTGTGTCTTTGTGCTTGCGCGCTAAACCCATTCTAGAAAGTGAGACAGCCGTTTCTGAAGAGGCAGACAGACGCTTCCACAGGCAGACAGACAGGCAGCAGGCAACATGAGAACCGACTTTGAGTGTCCACGAGCACCGAGGAACTTTCTTCGCCAACTGATCGTCGACTCGGCCACCGTTCTGCTGCTACTCACACCACCGCTGTGCTTGACCATCTGGGGCAAGCCGCACAAGCGCGGCTTCAACTGTGATGATCAGTCGCTGCGTTATCCATACCAGGAGAACACCATCTCTTCAGTGACTTGCTATTTGTACTCCACTACAATTCCCGTCGTTCTGGTAAGTCAGTTAATGGCTGGGGAACTAGTCTGCCCTAAAAATTGCATTCTCATCCACTAACCACTAATTGATCACAATTTCGGTCATGGCTGATCATGATTAGATCTTCCTCAATGAATTCGCCATCATTCGCTGTCAGGTGTCGAGCACTGAGGTGCGTTCGACTCAGCTGTCCTCGCTGCACTTCTGGCGGTGCCTGCTCTGGCAGGCCTACCGCTTCATAGCTCCGCTGGCCTTTGCCGCCGCCTCCTCCCAACTGCTGACTGACATTGCCAAGTACAGCATCGGCAGGCTGCGACCGCACTTCATCGACCGCTGCCGGCCCAAGTTGGCCTCCACCGGGGAGATCATCCACCGGTCCTCCAACTGCAATCAGCCGTACACCTATGTGCTCGAGTACAGCTGCAGCAGTGGGCTCAGCGAGCGCACTCTCCGCGACTCGCATCTGTCCTTCTCCTCCGGCCACTCGGCCTTTGCCGCCGTCTGTCTGGTCTATCTCGTCGTACGTATCTTCGTCCCCTTCTCCCTGATATCTGCCAATGTGCTAATAGCACCCTTATAACTAATTCAATCCATCTCCCCTCTTTCTCCCTACCTTCTCTACAGCTGTACATCCAGCGGCGAGTGCAGTGGTCCTGTCTGGGCTTAGTAAAGCCGCTTACGCAGGTCCTGCTGATCAGTCTAGTGGCCTACACCGGCTTCAGTCGCATCTCCGACTACAAGCACCACTGGAGCGATGTGCTAGCGGGCTTCTGCCAGGGCACACTGGTCGCCCTCCTCGTGGCGACCTTCGTCTCTGAGCTCTACACCGGTCGGCACTACCGCCCAGGCAGCAGCAGCAGCGGCGGCAGCGGCAGCATCACCAATGCTAATCAAGTTGATCCCGAGTCTGGCGTCTGAGCTGCAATCTGTTGCCTGCCTGCCTGCCCCCTCCTGTGCTGGCATGAACTGTCTTAGCTTTGATTTTAATCTAGTTGTCGCTCTCATTCACATAATTCTCCTTGTCACACTCACACACACATGCACGCACCTATTATATATTTATTTATTTCCCCTTAATTAACTGTNCAGTTGTCGCTCTCATTCACATAATTCTCCTTGTCACACTCACACACACACATGCACGCACCTATTATATATTTATTTATTTCCCCTTAATTAACTGTGATTAGTGTCCTCTCCCTCTCTGGACAGTGTATCTCCTCTCGCTGCCCTTTGAAAGCGGATACACTGACTTCCTTCGCAATAAAAAATATAAAGTAACGCAACGACCAGCAGCCAAAGGTGGTTTGTTTTTCAATGCATTGCATTTCATTCATTTTTGTTGTTCCTGCCTTCTCCTCCTCCTCCTCCTCTGTCACTTTTCAGTTAGATACATGTAGTAGAGCGTTCGCTGTTCCTCGCTGGTAAAAGTAGGCACAAAGTTGACCTCAAAGACGGTCGCACCCTCGCTGGCGGTCGGTTCTTCAAACCTTTTGTTCTGCGTGTATATGAGAACGCTGGTCACAGTCGACTGGGCAGTGGTGAGCTTGCGATAAACGTTATTGTGAAAAATGTGCTTAAGCGGAAGTTTGAAGTGGAAAATGATGGGAATTGCTCGCCTGTCCTTGCACACTTGAATCCACTTGGCGCGTGAAGTTTTGTCGACGCTGGTGTTATCAATGACGACGTTCTGTGAAGCGCTCAGTGTCTTCTCTGCCAGTGATTCACACTTGGACATTGCGCAGTTCATCTCGTCACGACTTATGTACACGTAATTGAGCTGCTTCAGGTGTTGCCGGTAAAATGACGACTTCCCGGTGGCTGACATGCCGCTGAAGATGATGCAGTGCAGCTGAGTGGGGAGAACAGTCTGCAAGCTGGTCACCTTGGCGCCTGTGGCAACCTCGCGCAGAATGAACTGCTCAGCATTGTCCCTCTCTTCACTTGGCTTGAAGCAGTCTATTTGACTAAGTAATGATTTTGACTGGTTGCACATGGTTGCTCCCTTGGCTGCGCAGCTCATAAACTGTTCAGGCAACATGAAGTTCAGTTTGGCATTTACGGCGAACAGTAGATCAGCGCAGCTGTGGTCCGCTTTGCGAAGTGCCGATTTTTTACGGCCTGCTGCATCACCAACGTAGAAGCTGCGTTCAAAGTCAATGTCCACGGAGGGTTGAAGCTCTTCCGACAGGTACGACCAAAGGCCAATGCGTGGCTTTCTGAATATATCATCGTGAGTAGCGATGAGCACCAGACAAGGCTGACCTAGGGCCACGATAGAATCGTTGAAACGCTTCTTCACCTCATTGACGTTCACTTTTCCTTTCTCGATTCCTCCTTGATTTGATACAACCACAAGACGGTAACCTTTCTCCACGTAGTCGGAGAAAAACTTTGGCAGTCTTGAATCAAGTAACTTCCAGTCACTGCCATCCACTGGATAAGTTTTTCCACTTTTCGGAACGACCAGTGTGTAGTCAAAATCAAACGATGCAATCAGAGGGCTTGCTTGTCCACCCCCGCGAAATTTTCCGACAATAATTCTCTTTGTCTCATCTTCTGTCCATTGAACTGTCAGATCACTCGTGTTATCTGAAAGTTAAAACGTGTTGTAAGTCAGGTAAAATGATACAAAATGTACTTACCGGTCGACTTAGTTTCATCGTCTTCGTTTCGTTGTGAATCAGTGTTTACAATTTTAACAAGAAAAGCAAACCCGGGCCCAGTGATTGTCTGGCCTGATTTGAAACGTTGACAGTCATCGCTTTTGGTGAAGTTCACGAGCACCTTGCTTCCTTCGGCCTGTATTTGAAGATTTTGAGAAGGAGACAGCATAAAAAGTAGATAATGTACCTGAACAGTTGCGTAGTTGCGAGGACATTTCAGGTCTTTGATTTTGCACTCACGATTGCGACCCAGCACCAACGTTTTACCCTCTTCGAGCACCTGACTTGGTATGTTCAAGTCACTACTTATTAAACGGTAAATCATCGTAATAAAATCTTAGGCATAAATGAAATCACAGATACGTAGAAATGATTTTTTGAAGGGCGCAAGTTGCGCAACGAAAAAAATGTAAATAATGCAACCGCTTTATTTCACATACAACGTATGCGTCACATTTTGACATTTTGAAAAATAACAATAAAAGCAAACAAAGATAAAACTTGAAAGTAAAAAAGTGTAAAGCATTGAGTTATTTTGGTAAGGATGTAGCTGATTAACTGTGTTGTTGGACGAATCTGGTGTGAAAGTCCTTGAACACCTTCATCATCTGTTCGAGCTTATCATTTTGAGGCAGAATAGTTGTGCGGAAGTGATACGTTCCTGGAAGTTGACCTAAAGACGAAAAAGTATTTCTTAAAACAGTTACTTAAAAACAGAGTCAGTCACTGTTACCAAAGCCTGATCCGGGAACGATGCAGATTCCGGTACTTTCCAGCAGTTGCATCGCGTAATAAAAGTCAGGAGCTTGTTTCATTTCAGCGGCTTTCTTGACCGCCTTTCGAGGAATGTCAATTTTCGGAAATGCGTACATGGCACCAGCAACCTTCAATTTGAACTAAATTAAATCGACTGAACATGATATGCAGCCACATGCGTACCTTGTTTGAAGATATGCCCGGAATAGAGTTGAAGGTGTCGGCAACCAATTGAGCTCGGTACTTAAGCGCACTGAGCACCTCACTCTTCTCTTTCTCGTAGAGATCATACGACTCTTCGCCCTTTTGCGGCGGCTTGACGATGCAGTCAAGGGCAATCTGGCCGAGCACCGAAGAGCACAACCTGGCTGAGAGCATTTTAAGGAACATCTGCTTCACTGCGGGATCAAAGTTGACCAACTCGCAATATCCGCCTCTCAGACCACACTCGCCCATGTAACCTGAAAAAATGAGCGTCAGTTTCAGTCATTTTGTTCGTTTTAGATCTGTCTTTTGTTACCTTTTGAAGCTGACATAACCGATGCCAGCTCAATCTCAATTTTCAAATCATGCATTACTTTTTTAAAAGAGAAGAACTCTCCATCCCAAATATTATGCTGATACACCTCATCGGCAATAATGAGCAAATTTTCATTTTTTGCAAACTTGATAATGTCTTCGATGTTTTGTCGCGTCAGCACACTGCCCGTTGGGTTGCCCGGATTAATGATGACCAGCACTTTTGGGACACACTTGTCACGAGCCTTATCGATTGAGCGTTTAAGCTCATCAGTGTTCAGTGACCACTGATTGCCTTTCAATTAAAGTAAAAATCATGTTAGTCATGTCAGCTGTAAGTTGATGAAACATATACTTTCGTCCAGATAGTAGTTGATCGGATGCATGCCGTACTCGGAGATGGTCGCTGAAAAGGAGAACAAAAGCGTTAGTACTTTTACTACAACTGAAAGAAGTGCCCAGATAATACCTGAATACAGTGGATACTGCGGAATGGGAATCATCACCCCGGACGGCTTGTCATCGGTGGAGGTAGTGTTGACCAGACTGAGCACGGCACGGATTCCCTCACTGGCACCGGTGGTGAGCACGATGTTCTGCCAGTCAGAGTCCACTCCGTCTCGGGCGGTGATGTAGTCGGCAGAGTGCTTGCGAATGATCTCCACACCAGCCGAATCGGAGTAGGAGCCCACCGACTGACCGCCGCAGTACTCCAGCAGCTCCTTTGCACGCGCCTTCACGTCGCCCGGATACGGTCCATTCAGCAGGTCATTATCAGTGGCACAGGCGAGCACCTGACGTAGAAAGGTCAGCGGTTTCTGACCCATTGCATGGCTGGTGGTAGAAAATGGGTGGCAAAAGGTGGGTTTAATCAATGAGCATCAGAAATGGTCAGAACGCATTAAATACCAGTCGCCAATGTTGGCACGAGTGACCGACGCAAACGGCCGAGAGCTTCCATTATTCACCTTCAGTTCGCGCTCAATTTCCCCAGCCCGAATGACGAGTGGGCCTCGGACTGCATATTCTAGCTTGATAACGTTTTCATTGATATTATCCAAGGTAACATTCGCCTGCCTTGCCACCCCACAGTAAATTCCCCTGCTGCCAATCTTCAAGCTTCTGCATGCCTGTTTACAGCTGGCTGCCAGTACTTTTCTGCTTGACGCATTCATTCTGTCGAGAATATGGTTTTGAAAGAATCGTTTACTGAGAAACGCCGCCGCAATAATAATAGTGCACTGATGATGATGATGAGCCGAGTGAAGCAGAGGAATGCTTTTAACCTTGCAGACAGCAGAAGCAGGAGCAGAGTCTCGTCTTTACAACTTGGCAGGCAGAAAGGTGCTTGTAGTTTTCTATTTATTACATCCAATCATCATCAGCAGACAGGCAAACCGTAGCAGCACAGGCAGCAGAGGCGTAATCGAATTGATGCAAATCAGAAAAGTGTGACTGTGATAAAACCAACTGGATGATAACCACGGAGTGCCTTGAGGTAAAAGAGGAAGATGCAGAGCACTTTCCTTGGCAGTTGTTTGATGCTGATGGTGATGATGATGGTGAGCTTGCTACTGCAGTGATGCGCAGAGCACTAAAAAGTCAACTTGGCTGGTTGGCGACGAATTGACGATGATGATGAAAACACACACAAACACACAGCCAGATTAGAAAGACAAACACACACACACACTGCAGTCTTGCACACTGAAGGCGACAGAAGGCGCGCGTGCACGTGATTTGCGCACTTTCAAAATACCGGCAAATTCGAAAGCCACAAAGTATTCCTTTAGCAAAAAAGAGTTGTATTTGGGAAAGAATAATTAAATAAGAATTGGAAGTGAACAGAATAATATCAGTAGTGTATAGAAAAAAATCATGCAAATTTTGGTAGGAGTGCTTTTAGCATAAAGTTACTACCAAGATACCTAGATAATCTAACTGTATTGTTCGTCGAAAAAGCCGCGAGTTTGCTGTTGTGGTTGTTGGCCGGCTGGCCCTTGCTGTACCTGCGGCTGTGACTGCGGTGGCTGCTGCTGCTGCTGCTGAGCTTGCATGGTCGTCTGAAAGCGGAACTGTCCCTGCTGCTGTGGAATCTGTCCCGCTTGAAGCATTATCTGAGGTTGCTGCTGCTGTTGCTGTTGCGTGGGCAGCTGCTGAGTGACCCCAACAGCTGTTTGTAACCTAGCCTGATTACCTGGCTTGTTATAGTTACCGGGGTTCATAGTTCGCATCTGCTGCTGTTGTTGCTGCTGCTGAAGAATTTGTCGCAACTGCAAATTCTGATTCTGATTCAGGTTCTGATTCTGCTGCTGTTGTTGCTGTTGTTGTTGCTGCTGCTGCATATGAATCATTTGTTTTTGCTGCAGCTGATGTTGAAGATGTTGTCGAATCTGTGCATTGTTTTGCTGCTGCGGTGCCTGTCCAATAATTTGCCCTTTGGGCACGTCTTGTTGGTGCTGGTGCATCTGGTACTCCATCTCTTGCTTCTGTGCTTCTTTCAGCTTCATTTCCAACTGTTTAATTGCCATCAAGTTCTGCTCTCGCTCGTTCGAGCCAAATCCATTACCGGCATTTCCAGCAGCTGCAGCTGTCGCTATGTTGATGTTGGCAGCATTGACCGGACGCATATTTCCCTGGCCTGAATTAATCTGCGGCTGTGAGTTGGCCATGATGTTGAACTGTTGTCCTGGAACAGCCGCGGCATTCTGCGGCTGCATCAACTGCGGTTGCTGCTGCTGTCCCATAGGCAAGTTAGGCTGTTGTTGTTGCTGCATCTGAGTGATTCCTGCATTGGTCCCCGAGTTCAAATTGATCTGCATGGTGTTAGTGTTCGCAGTAGTAGTGACCATTTGGTTGCCAGCTCCAGTGCCAATGGTGCTTCCAATGAACACCGCCCCCTTTGGTTGGTTAGTGTTGATGGGCTGATTGAGAAGGGAAATATTGCCCCCTTGAACCGTAGTCGCCTGGGACATGGGAACTTGGCCGGCCTGCGATGTAGCTGTATTCGGGTTTTGGCCTGCTTGAAAGTTCCCATTGCCGCTGTTTATTTGCTGTAGATAAAAAGCAAACCGGTTAGTTTCATTATATAAAAGAGGAGTGTAAAGTTTACAAAGTAAAGAAATGAATAGAACACACACACAGTTTAGAGTTGAAGGTAAAGCGAGAACAAAGGCGCATTGGAGCGACAAATGGCATATTAGTTAAAAGGAGAAAAGTAGATTGAAGGATTGCCAAACCAAATATGGGAGTAAAGTGGAATTGATAAAGAATAGAGGAAGAAAGAGAGAGAAGTGGTCATAAGAGAGCGGAAAGCCAGCGATTGATATGAATTATGCACGCGCATATTAGTAGCAAGCCCTAGCAGTGTCCTGCGCTTGTTGTTGTTGCTGTTGTTGCTGAGTTGTAGTGCCTGAACAACGTAGTTACCTGAAACATAGTGTTCGAGTTATTGGCAGGCATAATCTGCGCAGCACCGGTCGCAACTGGTGACTGGCCGGGCATGCCTGGACCACCATGCGACAACTGAATCGACAGTGGGCCAACTGAATTCATCTGAGCTAACTGCGGCTGAGTGTTGGTCACTTGCGTGCCAGGAAGTGTTGATTGACCTTGCTGAGTTGCCATTGGCTGAGGATGGCCCATACCCATTTGCATTTGGCCCAACTAAAAGAGCAGTCAAAGAGCAATTTTGTTAAAAGAGTCAGTGCTTCTCAAAAGGTGTGTTCCTCCTCGTTTCTGGTCAGTTCACGACCACCACTTGTATAACCACTACAACTTGGATATAATACCGAAATTGAAGAGCACCGATCTGCATTGTTGCTCAACTATTTGACACCTAACCGCCACCATCCTCTGCTAACTTTGAAGGACAAATGGAAAAATAAATAGCACATCAAATACAGTGTTACCATTTTTTGCTGTTGATGCTTCAGTTGCTGCTCCTTTTTATGGCTTTCAATCATCTCCTTCATAGAGCTCATAAATTCTTCTTGGTGAATAGGAACAAAACCAGAAAAAATTCTGTAAGATAACAACATGTAAAATGTTAAATTTACAAATATAAATGCAGTAACAATGATCCTACCTTCTTTCAGGTGAGTAAAAAACAATGATGATCCGAGTGCCGGCTTGAATGGGCAGTTGAATGCACCCTACTTGCTGCTAAAAACCCGATGATTTTAAAAAGTTATCACAAAAAGTGGATTGCCGTGAAACAACTTACATTTAGAGATAAAAGTTTGCAAAGTCGCTGCAAAGCGGGCGAAGTGGCAAAGTCTTGTTGAAAGTGCAGGTTTACATGATAAGAATTATTCTTAAAAATGGGCGTTAGCCTGTTGATCAAGGTCCTGGGAACACAGCTGAAGATAAGCTTGTCTGGCCAGGCCTGAGAACTCAAATCAGGTCCGCTCGGGTTGGGTTGGTAGGTGATCTGACACTCCATTTGGTGAGCGGTCTTCTGAGCATTGTTGGGCATACCTTTATCATGAAATTCAATAATACCACTCCAAATGCGTGTTCTCGGGTTATTGGGTATTATTGGCTCAAGGTTACCGAAACCGCCTGACATGTTGTTGCCCGGTAAATTACTTGGAATGATGTTTTGCATGATCGGGTTCTGGGTATTCATTGTGTTCATCTGTTGCTGTTGCTGTTGTTGTTGATTAATTTGATTAATTTGCTGCTGCTGAATAAACTGCTGTGGCTGCGCGATTGGAGATGGAACTGAAGTTGTACTTTGAAGTGGCGATGGAACAGCTTTCATGCCCATCGGTGATGGCTGTGGCTGAGATGGAGAAGGCGCTTGCGGTGCAGGAAATGGAGAGTGCTGCATTTGCTGTGGACGTATTTGATTCATGTTGGCATTGGTCGGTTTTAGAGCGCCATTGCCTTGTTGGCTCATCTGCGCCGGTTTGTTCGATGCAGGTGAAAACTGCGGAACAAGATTAGGAATTTGACCAGGCGATGGAACACTTTGATTCATTGCCGGAATATTCGAGCCAGGATTGCCCATTTGAGGCGTTGCGGCTCGGGTTCGCACTGGGCCGGTCATGTTTGGATTGCGCCCAGGTCCTTGCGAGGGAGAAGGAACGCTTGGAGACGGCCACGGTGAGCCGCCTCGAGGTGTCATGGCCACCATGTCGTTGTTCACCTGTTTGCTGTGCTGTGAAAAAGGAGTGCCAGCTTCACCTGAAATAAGTGCGCTCAACTGCGAGTTTCTCATCTGTGGGTTGGGCAGCGCCGGCTGGGAGGTTGACGAGGGAGACTGCGGTCTTTTGACGCCCTGCTGCTGCTCCGCTGAGGAGGACGACTGCTGAGAAGAGGGACTCATCGGCTTCTCCTGCAGGTGGAAGCCATTCAACAGCACCAGATGACGGCGGTCTTTGGCGTAGTTTTTCGTGTGAGCAGTGCTCAAGTTTCCGCCCGAACTTTCATACAACTTGTACAGAAAGTGCATCTTTCTCGGTGAGAATATACTAAAGTTGATGTTCTTTTCAGTCATGACGTTNGGAGGGACTCATCGGCTTCTCCTGCAGGTTGAAGCCATTCAACAGCACCAGATGACGGCGGTCTTTGGCATAGTTTTTCGTGTGAGCAGTGCTCAAGTTTCCGCCCGAACTTTCATACAACTTGTACAGAAAGTGCATTTTTCTCGGTGAGAATATACTAAAGTTGATGTTCTTTTCAGTCATGACGTTCATCAGCTGTTCAATGGTCAGGCCACAGAAGACTGGGTCTTCCACTACCGGCTCCATATAAGGAGTTGAGTTGCAGATTAAAATGCAGTGTTTTGGTGTTTCAGTAAAGGGCGCTGTGCTGTTCTCTCGAATCACTTGAAAGTCATCCAGTAAATTGATGGCAGTTGAAAGTCCTTCAGCAATGTGACTTGAAGGGCTGCCTGCGCCGCCAATATACCTGTAGTAAAAAGAAGAGGATAAGTTGCAATCAGATAGTGTCTTTTTAGTCGGCTCAGTGGTCATCTTACTGAACTTTTTCCAGCCAATGCAACAACACACTGGAATTGGATGTGGGTGCATAGCACGCAGTTGCAGTGTCCGGCTTGCAGTCATTTGCCATAAACGCAACTATTCCGTAAAGTGTTGAGTTTGCCTGTAGCAAAAATTGAAGATTATTACAATCACAATGGAAACTTTTGTCATGTAAAGTCAGCATACATTGATTTCTGGGGAAAGATCACTCGGGTCAATCGGACCGCTGAAGTACCTGTGGGAAAAAGCAATGTCACAATGTAAATATGCACAAACGATGAGGNAAACGCAACTATTCCGTAAAGTGTTGAGTTTGCCTGTAGCAAAAATTGAAGATTATTACAATCACAATGGAAACTTTTGTCATGTAAAGTCAGCATACATTGATTTCTGGGGAAAGATCACTCGGGTCAATCGGACCGCTGAAGTACCTGTGGGAAAAAGCAATGTCACAATGTAAATATGCACAAACGATGAGGCTGATGATCAAACATACTCAAGTGTGGGCATAATATAGTTTGTCTTGAGGCTTTCAACGTAAGGACTGATGTGAGCGGTCGCTTCAATGAGGAAGACGACGTCGGCCCGAGTTTGATTTTCTTGGTTGTTTACAACCATCTTGAAGGAGTACTCTGTTCTCGTCCGGCACCGGCACTAATATGCCATATCAAGTAAGCGGTGCCTGCTGATGAGAAGTGACGCTAGCTGACCAGGCAGACCAGTCAGCAAAATAAATAAATAAAACACCTGTCAAGTTCAGTCAAACGGTTTCAGTCACCAAGTCGCACCTAAACTTGGATCGCACACCACTGACAAGTTAGTGATTTGCTGGTAGACGAGTCATGTTGAAAATATCTACAACACAGACCGACCAACTTTCATGGAGCGATGCTCGGAAGAGCATGCATAGAGAGCATCAATTAGATGGAGCCACGGTCAGAGTGGAATTTGAATGAAAAGGCCATTGTGGAAAATCTCAAAAATGACTTACAGGCTTTCTTTTGTTGTAATATCGCTTTTATTTTGTGATTTGGTGGTTGTGTGTTGTTGTGTGTGTTCATCATGAAACAAATGAGTAAATGGTTAGTGTCATTGGCAATTGGTATGTACAGTGATTGCATGCAAGTCAGTGGCTCCAGGTCCTCTGTGATGGATCCATCCTCTCCACAAATACTATCAAGAAAATTGGTTAATTAAACACGTAAGAGTTAACTTCTAGCTCTCTTCTTCGCACGAAAGTGATAGTCCTACTTTGCCAAACGAGTTGTTTCCACGGTGGATAATGACAAGTGCCAAAGTTTACAGCTGAAAAGCAGGTAACAAATACACAGACGAGGACAGCGTGAAAAGGGGTAAAAGGGAAAATAAATATATAAAAAATAATAGAAAAAGCTCTCTATGAGTGTCTATTGATATTAATTAATAAAATTTAAAACGTAATCAATTTCGATTACGTATGCGTAGCAGTTTTAACAAAATGATCAATCAAATGAAGTAGTAAAAATTAGCAATCGACAGTTGAAAGTTGAAAGTTGTAAGTGGAGGATTTCGAAACGAGGACATCGCCATGGCCACTTGGGGAATCGGTGTTTGATGTTGTACTGTAAGTTTGATAGTGAGTGTTAGTGGCTGCAATCGGCAGTCAGGAATTAGAAA